TAAAATACACTCAAATTGATAGAGAGTTGTATCAACGGAGATTCGATGGGACTTTAGCGTGCTTCCTGGGTCACGAGGATACTATGAAGGTCATGGACGAGGTCCAAGAAGGTGTTGGAGGCGCCCATAGGGCAGAACCCGCTATGAAATGGACGATCATTCGATATGACTATTTTTTGCCACAAATCTTGCAGAATTGCGTGGACTATGCTCAGGGGTGTCCAGTATGTCAACGCCCTGGACCACTTCGACTAGTCCTTTTGGAAGAATTTCATTCGATTATCAAACCTTGGTCTTTTCGTGGATAGGCGATGGACATCATCAGCAAGATTTACCCTCCATCTTCCAAGGGGCATTCCTTCATTCTCATAGCTACGAATTACTTCACGAAGTGGGTGGAAGTTGTTCCATTGACTAAGGTACAACATAATCATGTGATGACTCCAAATATGAGCATATTCTTAGCTTGACAAAAATGTGTATTACTCGAATTTCTGCATAAGAACCATCAAAATAAATCGTAATCGGCATACAATATTGATTTATATCACTAGGCATGATCCAGAATTCGTTGTTGAGATTATTAACAATTTTTGCCCTCTTAAGCGGTATTCTGAACCAGAAAAGCTAAGGCAGACGCTGCAAGCGACAACCGCCTTTGCTCGCAAGCGCCCAGGACACACTTTGAAAACACTAAGGCATGAGAAGCAAGCGGCCACCTTCATAGCCGCAAGCGATAGCCTCTCCCGCTTGCAAGCAACAGTCCAGATACCCGCCGCTGCAGACTATCACCAGATTTCAACTAAGTACTTCAACTGCAGCGGTACAGCCATTCCAATTCCAGCTAGCACAAGCGAGCCGAGCTACGCTGATGCCCTCCTGCTCTCCAGCAAGAGAGGAAGATCTGTGCCCTTAACCTTCAACGCAAGCGAAGCGGGCACCCTGGGAGTTATGGCCAGCAACTGCTTCAACAGAATAACCACCAGCAACCGCCTAACTGCCCAGTGGTTAGAACTGCCTAACAGCTACTTGCAACCGCCTTTTCACACCTGATATAAATAGGGCCATATATCTTTATGTAAATATATCGAATTCTTTGGCGATTTCAGCATACATATAGCGTTCGTCGTCTTCCTGTTTCCGAGAGCTCCAACCCTGTAAGGGAGTTCTCCACTGGAAAGGCCAAGGGAGTGGGGGTCTTCCCTCTCCCTTGGCCACGTTTTTAATGCTTTCTTAGATTAGATTACTGCTTTCATTTACAGCTTTGTAGTCTAATTCTTTCCGTACTTTCGTAGTATATAAAGAAATATCATTCATTTCTTCAAATTAAATTCTTTCACAATTTTCCATACTTATATAAATCAATTTTAGAGAATTTCATATCACTGGTATAGAGCGAGAGAAGAATTGATTAATTAAGCCTTGTTATGCGCCAAAAGCGGTTTCAAGGTAGTTCAATGTAGTTAAGTACGCGGGAGCCTTGTCGACCTACTTAACTACTGTGCTAAATTTGATTCTGATAAAATAGTAGCAACATCAGGGGGTAAAGCCACTAATGAGGCAGAAATTGGGAAAATTAACGGGACATAGACGGGGGTCTATTAGGTCGTAGAAATTCCTAGTGACAGTAGGGTTTCTTTCTTATAATGTCTTAATTCTGGGTATCATTGAAGTCTTGTTGTAAATCCCCCCCCAGGCCAAAAATACCAGTGTGATGAGTTCTTTATAATCCAGTTTATATAATTACAACATCTTTCTATCATCATTTTCATAATATACATATATTCTTCCGATAACACACTTACGTCATTCGCTCGCTATATCCAGGGAAATCTACCCATTTAGTAATGCACATTTCAGACACAGCACCTCTCATTCACTCTAATTTGCTCATATACATATACATATAATATGCCGCTCACTCACGCCCCAATCCTCTGGTAACCGCGATTCATCCATGCCCCGATCATCTGGTTACTACTGGAACTCTGCCTCTCGCTTTCGCTTCGCTCGTCTACGTTCACCTCATCCTTACTGCTTTATTTACCGCTTTCAGTAGTAAAAGATTCAAGCCCGCTCCAAGCGGACCCTTTCTTTTTTTTGTTGTCGCTTCTCCAAGATTTTTACCATTGAAATTCATGACTTTAAATCCTTGTGTTCGACCTGGAAACTCACCAGTAAAAAGAGTATAAATAATTGTGATAACTATCCAGGGTCTACAACCACACAATTACTATATCTGATCGTTCTCCTATAAAAACTCTACTAATTGATTTTCGAATAAAATTCCCTGCGAATTGATATACAAACTACAATAACAAATTCTAGTTATCATAAACAGTTGTCATAATTTGGCGCCGTTGCCGGGGATTTGAAACTTATGAAAAGTATCTGTTGGAAATCTTTTGAAGCGCCATAATTTACCTTTAATTCGTTGTACTCGTGCCTTTTGTGTTTAATTAAATTCTTCTAACTTTTATTTTTTGTATGTGGCTGCCATTTTGTAGGGGTCCGAAGCGTTTTCAGCGTCCCACGAGTCCTACTCCTTCCGCTCGATCACAGAGACGTCTGTTCAGAGAGGAAGTGCGAGAACAACTCATGACGAATCAAAGAAATGCCACCGCTCCTCCTATTGTCATCCCAGCTTTCCAGAATGCCGCTGGGACATCTTCAAACTCCGCCACATCTGCATCTTCGCAGGAGGTGCCGCTCCACGTCCCCTCTGTGGTCCCTGCTGTCATTCCTCTTGCACTTTCACAGACTGAGGAGCAACTATTGAGAGCCCTCAGTAGCATCCAACAAGGAATGGCGGGGCTGCAAGCGCACCTCGCTCAGGTGTAACAAGCTCAAGCTGCGCATGGAGCATTTATTGCTTCCCAAGCGGCACAAGCTGCCACCACCGCTGCGATACCCGCAACCATCATTCCCCCACCACCTACTGCTGAGCCTTACCAGAGGGCTGGGGGTCACAGGGCTGCTGATCGCCCACTTGCTGAAGTCCCCATGGATGTTCACTACCAGACCCTTCTGGATCACACTTTAATTACAAGTTCTGCGCCCAGAGGCTCTGGCCATTATGAGGTGAAACTAGCGCTCGTCAGCCTTGCGAGCCAGAGCCAATTTCATGGGCTGCTCAATGAAAGCCCTTACGAACACTTACAGAACTTTAATAGGATCGCTGCCACCTCCAAATCGCACGGCATCACGGAGGACGCTGCCAAACTGATTCTGTTTCCCTTTTCTTTAACAGGAGAAGCCAGGAAATGGTTTGATAATCTTTATCCGATCCCTGGCTCATTCAAGGAAGCAGCGCAGGCCTTCGTGAGCAAATACCATCCTGTATCAAAGATCATTCGCCAGAGGAATGAAATACTTACCTTCAAGATGGCGAGTGATGAGACCCTTCCAAAAGCCTAGAGCCGATTCAAATAACTACTCCGCAACTGCCCTCATCATGAAATTCCAGACTTCATGGAGCTTCAGATTTTTTACTCAGGAATTACTCATGAACTCAGAATGTCCTTAAATGCAGCGGCAGGAAGCTCGCTTATGGGGCGTTGTGCCTCTGAAGTGAGGGCTTTGATAGAGAAGATGGCGGCCAATCAGTCAAGTTGGCCAGAGTCCAACAGGCCCGAGCCATCGAGGGGTCTGTACCAGGTCCCTGCTTCCGTATCTCACGATGCAAGGATCGACAGTTTGTCAATCCAAGTGAAGGAGCTGTCTAAGCTCATGAAGCAGGACCTGTGTAATAAAGGAAAACAAGCACTGCATGAGGCCGCGGAATGCGAGGAAAGAGCTTATGAAGACCAACAATGTTCGCAGGTTGCTGAGTGTTCAAATGAGGAAGCTCAGAACCCGGCGGAGGTCTTTTATATGGCTGGCAGAAATGCCTTCCAATTCCAGCAGTTCCAAAAAGGGCAAGTTCAAGGCCCCGCTAGACCACGTCCTCAGCAACAATTTCAGAGGCCACAACAGTTCGCTGCGCAACAATATATCCAAGGGGGATATTATCCACATCAACAACAATACAATCAACCCCCCCATTTCCCACAGCAGGCACATGCATTCGCTCAACCTCCCACAGCGGCACAAGCCCCGTTGAGTCTGGAGGAACTCTGGAGGAACTCTGGAGGAACACAGAGCGAGCGAATCAGGAGTTCCAAAGAAATACATCTGCTTCGATCAAAATGCTGGAAGTACAAGTCGGGCAGATTGCTGAAGCGCTGAAGCTGAAGCAGAAAGGAACGTTGCCTGGGACAGTCGAGACTGTCCCGAACCAAGCGAAGGCCATCGAAACTAGAGGAGGGAAACGGACGCAATCGCCACCACTGCCAGACAGAGGTATTAATCAATCTTCTTCCCCTATTGTTGCTAATGTGCCTGTGCAGGATGAGATTAAAGAAATTCCGTCTAAGGAGCAAGGTCCATCTCAACCTCGAGCGATACCAGCCGCTCAGGAGTCTGACCCGAATGAAAGGGGTTTCGCTCAGCCTTTGGCTCGAGCCCCCTTTCCCGCATGATTTGGGAAGAAGGACAATTCCAAGGAGTTTGATAAGTTTGTACATACTTTCCGTAGTCTTCAAATTACTATACCGTTTGCTGATGCTTTGTCTCAAATGCCACATTACGCTAAGTTTATCAAGGATATAATCAATCGCAAGCGGGCATTTCCTGATGAAGTGGCAGTGGTGCAGCTGGAAAGTGTGTGCAGTGCCGTATTTAAGGAGGACCTCCCGAAGAAACTCAGCGATCCTGGGAGTTTTATCATTATTTGTACAATAGGAAATTTAGAGCCGATTAGGGCATTATGTGATTTAGGTGCAAGTATCAATCTTATGCCCTTCTTGTTTTTCTCTAAATTAGGGCTTTATGAGTTAGAAGCATGCAGAACTGTAATTCAGCTTGCCGATAAGTCAATAAGATTGCCTAAAGGAATCATTCGTGATGTACTCGTGCAAGTGAACAAATTTATTTTCCCTGCAGATTTCATTATTATGGAAATGAGCGAAGACCACGACATTCCAATCATATTAGGGAGACCTTTCCTAGCCACCGCTCAAGCTACAATAAATGTTGCTGAAGGAAAAATATCCTTGAGTTTTGGTGGTGATAAAGTCACATTTTCCATGAACTCAGCGCTACGTCAACCTCAGGAAGAAGATTGTGATTTTATTAATGAGTTAAATGAAATAATAAATTTTGAGAACCATATTACACTTGATAATCTGGAAGGAATTTCAGATAATGGATCGCTCGAACTGGAAGATAAAAAAGATTCAGCTGAGGCAAGCGACGATATTCAAGCGCCCACTGAGTCCATTGAACAAGCGACGAGGGAACCAGCGAGCGAGACCAACAATAAGGATGAGCTGAAGAAATTACCTGAGCACCTCAAATATATATTCCTTGGGCCGGAGGAGAGTTACCCGCTGATAATCTCCGCCTTACTATTGCCGGATCAAGAGGCTCAGCTCATCTCACTTCTCAAAAGAAATCAAGCGGCGTTTGCATGGAAAATCTCAGACATCAAGGGAATCAGCCCAGCGGTGTGTATGCACCATATAAGGCTGGAAGCTGATGCAAAGCCATGTAGACAGCCTCAGCGGCGTTTGAACGAGAATATGCAAGAAGTAGTCAAAAAAGAGGTGATCAAATTGTTCGATGCAGGAATCATATACCCTATCAGTGACAGCCAGTGGGTTAGCCCAACCCAGGTGGTTCCCAAGAAAGGAGGATTCATTGAACAGACAAGCGACGATGGGGAGGTCTTGATGACAAGACCTGTCACTGGATGGAGGGTTTGCATCGACTACAGAAAACTGAATTTAGCCACAAAGAAGGATCATTTCCCACTTCCCTTCCTTGATCAATGCCTTGAGAAGCTTTCAGGTCACGAATACTACTATTTCCTCGATGGCTATTCAGGCTATCATCAAATTCCCATCAAACCGGAGGACTGTGAGAAGACTACATTTACTTGTCCATATGGGACTCTCGCTTATAGGAGGATGCCGTTTGGACTTTGCAACGCTCCGGCCACCTTCCAGCGATGTATGTACCATATCTTCAGTGATCTCCTGGACTCCTGTATTGAAGTTTTTATGGATGATTTCTCGGTGTATGGCAAGACCTTTTCCTGATGCCTGAATAATCTGGAAAAAGTACTTCTCCGTTGCATAGAGACTGATCTCGTGCTGAACTGGGAGAAATGTCACCTTATGATGAATGAAGGAATTGTCTTGGGCCATAAGATCTCGTCTGCCGGTATAGAGGTAGATAGATCAAAAATTAGTGTAATCGAAAAAATTCCATCGCTCTCGAATGAGAAATGAGTGCGAAGCTTTCTGGGTCATGCGGGATTTTACCGTCGTTTTATCAGGGGTTTCAGTCAAATCACACAACCACTCACATCACTACTGTGCAAGGATACTCAATTCTACTGGTCAAGCGAGTGTGAGGAGGCTTTTCAAATACTGAAGGATAAGCTGACCTCTGCTCCTATAATTTCAGCACCAGTGTGGAGTGAGCCATTCGAGCTAATGACGGATGCGAGTGATTATGCCGTCGGCGCTGTACTAGGACAAAGGGTGGAGTCTAAACTTAACGTCATTTATTATGCAAGTAAAGCGTTGGACTCTGCTCAGAAGAATTACACTACCACGGAGAAAGAGCTGCTAGCTATTGTCTTCGCTTTTGAGAAATTCAGACAGTATCTTATCGGAAGCAAGACCATTGTTCACACTGACCATGCAACCATTAAATATTTGATGGAGAAAAAGGAGACAAAAGCCCGCTTGATTAGATGGGTTTTGTTGCTCCAGGAATTCGACATCGAAATCAAGGATAAGAAGGGAAAGGAAAATCATGTGGCGGATCACCTCAGTAGGTTGCGACAAGAGGAGGACAAATCTCCTGGGATCAATGAACAATTCCCAGATGAGAAGTTGTTTCTGGTGCAAGCGAAAGAGCCATGGTTCGCTGACCTGGCCAACTTTTTAACTACAGGACAGTTTCCCGCACACACTGTACAACGGGAAAAGAAGAGATTGCTCAGTTTGGCAAAGGATTATTTTTGGGATGAACCTTATTTGTTCAACATCGGCTCAGATGGGATAATCCGTCGCTGTGTAGCGGAGTCTGAGATCCCGCTGATCTTGAACGAATGTCATGGGTCCCATGTAGGAGGGCATTTCGCTGGCATGCGCACAACGGCCAAAGTTTTGCAGTCAGGCTTCTTTTGGCCTACCCTACAAAAAGATGCAGATGCCTTTGCCAAATCTTGTGACAAATGCCAAAGATTGGGGTCCATCTCGAAGAAAGATGAGATGCCCCAAACTGGAGTCTTGTTTGTGGACATATTTGATGTATGGGGGATAGATTTTATGGGTCCCTTTCCACCTTCTAATGGGAGACAATACATTCTGGTGGCGGTGGATTACGTGAGTAAATGGGTTGAAGCGCAAACGCTCACCACAACTGATGCTCAATCAGTGATCCGCTTCCTAAAATATACCATATTCCCAAGGTTTGGGGTCCCTAGAACGATAATAAGCGATGGAGGCACCCATTTTGTGAATAAGGCACTACAATCTAGCCTACAACAATATGGTGTTCGCCAGCATCTAACTACCCCCTATCATCCACAAGCGAGCGGTCAAGTGGAAGTTTCAAATAGAGAGATCAAACACATCCTCCAGACCACAGTAAATAAAAGTCGCAAGAATTGGGCAGAGAAATTGGATGATGCGCTGTGGGCCTATAGAACAGCCTTCAAGACTCCAATTGGAATGTCCCCTTATCGGCTTGTATATGGAAAAGCCTGCCACCTACCGCTGGAACTAGAGCATCGTGCGTACTGGGCTATCAAGTATCTCAATTTTGATCTTCTCCCAGCGCAGGAGAAGCGCGCTAAAAGATTGCTCGGTCTGACCGAGTTCCGATACCTTGCATATGAAAGCGCGAAGATCTATAAGGAAAGGATGAAATTCTATCATGACAAGAAGTTGAAAAAGAAAGAGTTTATGGTGGGATCCAAAGTTCTTTTATATGACACTAGGCTTCACTTATTCCCAGGGAAATTGAAGTCACGGTGGACTGGGCCGTATATTGTCAGACAAGTGCTGCCAAGTGGAGCCATAAGGATTAACAATGTGGAGACCCTCGGAGAAAAAGATTCCTTCTTGGTGAATGGAGCGAGGCTGAAACCGTATATTGAAGGGCCTGTGTTGCAGCAGGCCAATGCAGAGATTAATCTGATGGAGGTTCAGAAGCTCAAGCAATGATAGAATTTCGTAAAAAGAATCCAGAAGCCTAATCTTATATCCGCCAACTTACAGCTTTCTTTTATTGCTTTCCTAGTTAGAAATTATCGCTTTCATAGTTAAAAAATTTACAAACTTTCCTTTACCGCTTTCATAAAAAGATTTCATAATTTCATCGCTTTCATTAGAATAGGATTATCGCTTTATAGGAATAGTTTAATGTTAGCATTTTAACTTCTAATCTAAGCCTGACCCAAGTCAACCACCGCTTCGCTTATTTCACCCTGATATTCACTGGGGGAGCATTATCGCTCACTCAGCACCACCTTCATTATCGCTTCTTTGTCAGTTGCTTTACCCGCTCATCCGCCCTGAAATACCCTCCCCTATACCTTTATAAGTATTTACAGTGAACTTGGCATCGCTCTGCTTGCTCTCTAGAGAGTCATAAGAAAATCTATAAATACCCCAGTCCACAATCATTTTTCCACTTTTGCCCTACAGTAACTTCCTCCCGAAGCTTTAGTAACCGCCACTCTCAAAGCGAAAATTTTTCAAAACCTCACCATTTCAACCAATAATAGCTTCATCTAAGGTAAGATCTAGGTTAACCTTAGTACATAAACTCTATTTTACGGTTGATTCTCGCCGATTTAACGTTTAGAAACACAGAATCGCAAATTATTTTCACGATATTTTACTATTCTTCATTTTTGCGAAAATGTTTATCTGTTTGATTTCTGTGAATCTAAGTCTGTTATATGCTAGATTTAGATACAATAACTGATATACTTGCTTTCTACGGATGAATTTTACTTTAATCTGTAGGTTAGGTCTTGTTTGTGATTTTCTCCCTTTTTCACAACGTAACGCTTACAGTAATGTTCTGTTTCGTTGTGAGGGGGAGGATTTAGGGTTAAAATCACCGGAACTGTGAATGTGATTGCCTATATATGGATGTTATTTACATTTAAAGACAATGAGGCAGGATCCATAGAGTTCGTATGATAAACAATAATTCTGGAAACCCTAGGTTCAGGACAGGCTTAGCAAAATAGATCCAGCAAAGCAAGAAACGTTGAAGAAGGAGTTTGAGAAAGTTGAGGAGAGGATCGAACAAAGAGTCCAAAGGATCAAATCCACGGACGGACGTAAGGTGGTGACAACAACCTCAGGGGCAGAATTAGTAGAACCAGTGCCACCTCAGGCATACTACAAGAGGAGGAGACTGTTGGAGTTAACAGAAGACTGGGGGAAGCTCAGGCAGCTGAAGTCACTGCCATTCCGAAAATTCATCCCAGAGTTCCCGGAGGAATACCTCAGTTTCGAATACACTGAGGAAACAGAGCAGAGGTATCCGGTGAGCGACTGGTGGCTGGAATTAGAAGAATCGGAATACGAGTAGCTGAAGGAGTACCAGCTGAAGGAGCTCAAAGACAAATTTGCCTGCCTAGAAGCACCGCCAAAGAAAATGAAGGCATTCCGGAGCAATATCTCCAAGAAGAATGCTGCCGACGCTGCAAAGGACGTGTTAAGATCGAAGCAGTATGACAAGCTGCACTTTTCCAACATTGACACAGCGGCGGCGTACGAGCGGATGAAGGCGATGGGGATCCTCTACGAGAGAGGATTTGACCCCGAAAAGATCACAGGCCCGCTCTCTGACTGGCTGGAGGAGCGGGGCCTGTCTTGGTTGATCAGAAACCCCAATGAACCAGTGGATGTATCACTGGTGAGGGAGTTTTACGCTAATCTGAACCAGGCTGAGAGTCTAAAGCATGTCTACATTCGGGGAAAATGGGTAGACTGCTCAGCCAGGAAGATCAACCGACTCTTGGGATGGGAACACCACTACCCCGCCCAGGAGATGCAAGATAAGTTGAAGGCAACGGAGGTCTGCATTTCACTTGAACTGCAGTCGCTATACAGGACCTTCGCCACCACCCCTCCATATGAGAAAAGGAACCCGAAGTTCGGGTCGGTGGACGAAGAGAAAAAGGAATGGGTGAAGTGGTCGTTGAGCAGAATAATGATCACTGCTCACACCACCGACAGTCGTCCTGACTACCTCGTTGCCCTTTGCTCAATTTTGGAGGAATCGAACGATGTGTATTTAGGCGCGATCATCGGCTTAGATATCTGGGATCGAAGAAGTGGAGACAGAACATTGGGTCACGGGACCCTGATCACAGAAATTTGCCGTTGCGCGGGTGTCGATTTGCCCACTCTAGCCCTAGAGCTCCAAATGAAGCCGCTGTTCCCAGCGGCCTTCCACAAAAATTGGTTGGAGTCCAAGGGGTTCACTCTCATCCCCAAACAGAAAAAGAGGAAAGCACAAGCGGCAGCGCCCCCTCCACCAAAAAGAGAGATGAGATATGTGAAGGGGGGAAATCATAAGAGAAGATGTGACACCCCATACCGAGCCCGACTCTGAGAGAACAGTTTCCAATGAAGCTCCCAGCGATGAGGAAGAGGAAGCCCTCCGCTTCGCTCGGGAGATTGAGGAAAATCTATTTGGGGCTGAAGCAACCAGGAGCAATAAAGAAGGAAAGGCGCCGCGAGCGGCCGCTGGCGAAAAGAGGTCAAAGAAGCAAGAAGACCATGCTCCACCGCCTGTCAAGAAGCCGAGGGTAAAAGAAGCATTGCGAAAAAATCCAACGCCCCCTCGGCGAGCGACGGGGCAGGAGAAAGGGAAGGGGAAAGCGGTGGATGTAGAGTCAAGCGAGGACACGATTCCCCTCTCCAGGCTACAGAAGGGGATCGTCATCAGAGAACCCACCGCCCAACCCGAGAGACCTTCGCCGGCACGGCCAGCAATAGAGGAGGTGTCACCAAGGCTGCCAAGCCCATCTAGCGATGAACCTGTTCCCTTCGACCAA